CAGTCCTATGAAACAGTTAGATTTATACCCATTCTACAGAGGAGAAAACCGAGGCACAGAGAGCCTGTGTGCAGTTAATCAGCTAAACCAAGACAAAATCCAAATCATAGGCTCTAGATTCCTGTAGTCATCGTTCCTGCCTCGCACGATGCTTGCAATTTTTAAGGGCACAGACCTGTAGCACAATCCTATGTTCAATTCCAAGATTTTTTTTATCCATCCTCCTGCGGGGAGAGGGGAGTGGTCTGCATAGCAGATCCTCTAAAATACCCATCGTATTTGGCTTTGGTCTGGAAGTCTGAAGAATAGAACAGGAGTGTGGTTCAAGTTAGAATGGCAATCATTCTTTTACAGCTCTGTAACTGAGGGACTGCGGGAGGGGGCTTAGAGGTGGTGCAGGGCAGGAACTGGAGGAGAAGCCAGATAATGCACTGCAGATAATCCACAGGCTGTGCCACAGCAGCGATAAGGAAAGAAAGCATCTCAGCTCTGGGTCCCGGCGGCAGAGATGCAGGAACCGCGGGATTCAGATTCCGAGATCCTGGATTTGAAAGCAGCCCGCACACAAAAGAAATGACGAAGTTGAGTACCCGATAATGCACTGCAGATAACCCACAGGCGCGCGATACGCAGAGTTCGAAACTGGGCTTTCCTTCCACACTTGGATGGAAACGCCTAGTGCACCTGGACGCCCCGCCCAGGGCGGACCTTCTTTTATCCTGTGGGGCAGTCCGCACGGCCAGAGCCAGACGCGCCAGGCACGCCCGAAGCTCCTCGAAGGAACTACAAGTCCCATGAAGCCCTGGGTTTCGGGGCGGTGATGACAAAACCCCCGCGGATTGGCCAAGCGGGGCGGGGCGCGCAGGCCTTCTCCTAGGGAAGGGGCGGGGCGAGGGGCGGGGCGAGGGGCGGCTGGGCGGGCACGCCCCCTCGCCGCGGCCCCCTCTCCGCCTCGCTCGGCTGCTGCTCTCGCTCCCGGGTCAGACGGCCGGAGCGAGAAGATGGCGAAGACGTACGATTATCTGTTCAAGCTGCTGCTGATCGGCGACTCGGGGGTGGGCAAGACCTGCCTCCTTTTCCGCTTTTCGGAGGACGCCTTTAACACCACCTTCATCTCCACCATCGGTGAGGGAGGGGCCGCTGCCAGGGACCGGGAGTG